CGTTGAGCTGCGAACAGGAAGTTGCAGGATGTCTGGTGGTATAATTTTTTTGTTTGTAAGCCTGGCCTTCATTTGAACCATTTTGTACATTTAAGGATGTAAGTGTATTCGGATGACTTAATAGATGACAACTTTAATAAATGATTAATGAAATTTCAGTAAAAAAAAAATATATATATATATATCTTTGTATTTTGCATGTATTTTTGATACTAGTAATTGTTTATCTTTATTTTTTTTTTATTTTTTGTTTTTTTTGTTCCAAAGTGGTTGATTTTACCGAGGTTCACCAGATGTTGGCCAGGCATGGTAGCTCTATTTGTCTTCCCTTACGTGGAAAAAGCACTGTGGAATGGGGCTGGCTGCACTATTCATATTTCCCACACTTTGGTCTCAGTAGAAATTGAAGCATTAGATGACATGAAAGTAATAGATCAGTGTGAATATCTTGTATCATTTTCAAGAGAGTTCTTCATCAGTGATATACTGTATAAGATTACATTTTTTTGTTTTAGTTAGAGACATGCAATCAGTGCTTTAATGGTAACTGAGGCCATTGTGTAATATGACAACTAATAAGACTTTTAGATAGATATTCATTACACACTTTTTGCACTTGTCTCATGTAGATTTGCATATATGTTATTCTCATTGTTCACTTACCTTTTTCTTTTAATATATTCATTTTCTTTCCATTTGGGAAGTCTTATTTTTATTTAAAATGATTTACCACTCACTTTATATATTTTAGATGTGATGCATGGAGCAGCTATATTCTGTTGTAGATTGTATTTTGATTGATCTGTGTCTTTCTCTTCATACAGAGTGATTTGGTATTGTAGAGGCAAAAGCTTGTAATGCTCAGCACTCGCCAGAAGCTGAATCTAGTTGAATAAACGCTCTCAAGCTTTTGTCTTTTTAAGAATGTTCTATGATATCAAATTACAACAGACCTTCATATCACATGTTTGTTCTTTTTTATATTTCCTAGAACTCTTATAGAGAGAGAAAGAGAGAGATTAAAAAAGAAAAAAAAATAGGTGTGGCCTAGAGTAGATCCCTGAATGCGGAATGCTGATATTATTTGATGTAGTTGTGATGTTCTCTGCGTCAGCATGCACTGAACCTTGGACCCCATCCTGAACGTGGTAGTCCTCTGTACAACCATTAGAGTAGCCAACCCTCTCCCCCCTCATCACTACTGGACACTACCGTTAGTGTCCACAGTTTTGTGTTTAATGGATGTTGTTTGTCATCCTTCCTCCAAAATTGTTGTTGCCTTTTTATGTTCCATTTCATATTTTGATAGAGGTGTGACTCCCCCTGATAATTTGCCTGTTTACCATAGACTAGCTATTTTTCTATTTTTATATGGATGTTTGAATTTTGAATAGTGGATCGAAGTTCCATTTTCCATATTTGATAATTGTCTTACATGTGTATTAACTAAATAATATAAGTAATTAGTGTCACATGTATATTAACCAAATCATTGTGTCCAGACAAAAAAAATATCTTTCATTATAATTTTTTTTATAGGTATGTTTATATATCTAAAGATATACAAATTTGTATAGGAAATGTTGAAAAATGGCAGAAAACAGACAAACAAAAAACACATGACCAGCCCTTATTTTTCTTTGGATTCAGCTCTCATAGAGTTGAATCTCGTCTTAAATGTCTAAGCCAGTACAAAGAGTTTGTCAGATTGTAGTATTATCTGTTTCACACTAGGCAGAGGCTACATGTTCAGGAACACTCTGGTTAATGAAATTGTATATGCATGCTTGGACAGTATCCTGCTTTTTTTTTATAGAAGGATAATAGTTATCTTGATGGCAAATTTGCAACCTAAGTGTAGCACAAAATGTCTTGAGTGCCATTTCATCACATATCACCTGCCCTTTTTTGTTTTTAATGTGAGAGCTTTTCTAAGACAACCCCCATGCTTATTCTACAACCATCCTGCCGTTTGTCCTGTGTTGCTCATTAAGAGGATGGAATCTCCTACTTTAAACTTTGGTGGTTATTTTATTTCATTTGTAATTTGCCGAATGGCTGAATTGGTAAATATAAAAATTGTACCCTTGTAAACCTGCCTTGTTTATTTGTCAGTGATTCTGTTTCCTGCTTTGATACATAATTTTGGAAAATAACTAAATACATTTTAGAAATGAAGGATAGAAGCAAAAACTGATCCATTTCCCCCAACATCCCCCCCCCCCCCCTTTTTTTTACTTTACTAATTGAAAAAGCCTTATAAATAAAATCCATAAATGCACTCATTGACAAACCTGCCTTGCACAAACAGCACATTGCATAAACAGCATACAGTCCAAATACGCATATTACTGTACCATTGCCGATCCTGCTGTTATTATGGCCATGTCCACCTGCACTGCTCATATGCTCGCAACCCCCTCCTTGCCTGTCTAGCAGCCTCCCCGCAAGCCCAGTCTCTGCACACTCGACCCGGAGATATCGGACACGGAAACTTCTGACACCGGCAACTCAGAGGGCGACAAAGCCAACACTGTAGAGCGCAAGGTGGGTGGGCTTTGGCGTACGAGGGATGGAGGAAAAGAATTTGTTTGGCCTTCATGATCAGGTTGATTTTATGCTGCTTTTTCTTCCTCTTCCCACTTCCACTTTCTATCATCTCATTGTTCTTGGTAGTAGATCCTTAGTGTTTTTTGCTGTTCATTTTTATAAGAGATTAACTCTAAGTCATGTCCCTGTTTTGCATCTTTGTGTTATGGCTGGAAACTTTTTTCTCGTTTGGCTATTTGTTATTTTTATTTATTAATTTTAAATCTTTTGTGTGTGTGTTTAGTGTGTGCGTGTCTACGTCTGTGTGTATATGGGTATGTGTGTACATGTACTTGTGCTTGTGTGTGTGTGCGTGCGTGCATGTGTACATGTGCGCGTGTGTGTGCGCGCATGTGTGTGCACGCGTGTGTGCGTGCACATGCATGTGTGCATGTGAGTAGCTATGTATATACATGAATGTGGTTGTGTGGAAATGCATGAGAGCTTGTGAGCATGTTTAACTTGCATCTGGGCATGAGAATGTTGATAATGTAAAAGTTGTATGTTTGTGCTGAATGTAATGATCGTGTGTGAGTTTCCTCAGAAGAAGGATTTGCAATTACTAAGTAGTAGTTTGTAATCACCTATTTTAGGTGTATTTTGTGTTTCTTTTTTTTTTTATTAATTTTAGTATGAATTCAATCATAAAAGGGTTCTGTTCCCCTGAAAAATACATTGGTGTTTCTCTTTCATCTTTACAATACTCTCCATATTTTATACTTGTAAATATAGATTTTTTGTTGTGTGATAACAGGATATATGTTTTTGTAAAGAAGAAAGAAAAGTGCTGTGGAAGAAAAGGGTGATAATGTAAATTTTTTTCCCATACATCTACACTTATGTTTGAGAGGGGTTATGGTATGTACAAATATTTTACCATCAGTTTATCCCTGTGCATGATTCCCTTCATGGCTAAAGGAAGCCTTTGACTGATGAGGCCTGTGGGAAAAGTCAGGGTTAGTTGTAAAGAGTTAAATATGATCAACTTTGTATATAGATAACTGATTGGAGTTATGAGATTATTAGTTGAATATTTCATGTTCTCTTCTCAAGATATTTCATTGGTGTAAGATATTTAACAAAGCTTGTACATACAGTATTAGTAACCAAGGTGAACATCTCCATTCCTTCTCCACCAACTCACATTTGGCAATTGATTCCACAGATGCCAGTGAAGGAGGAGTTAGATGAAGCAGTTCCGCCCCATGAGCTGCTGGATGTGTCAGCGAGCCGAGCAAAGGGAGAGCTGGCGGCGAGGGGGGGTCTGGCCAACCGTCACCTTCCCTCCCTGAAAAAGACCACTAGCATGAGTAGTGCTGGGAGCCAAGTAAGTAACTTTACCTCTCTTACATTTTTTTTATATCTATGTATTTTGATGGGAATGTGACTTACTTATTTTTTTTAATGTTCTTAACTATTATGAAATGATTGAAACCAATGAAAAGATTTACAGTTTTGATAGCAGCTTTGGAGATTTTATGGTGGCATGGTATATGTTTGATAAATTGGAAGGTGTTCCCTACTGCAGGAAAAATGTATACATCACAGTCAAAATCAACATACTGAGTAAGTTAATCTAACAGGACCACAGTCTGGATGACAGCAGCTTGGATGATGACCTGCCAGAATCCCAGAAGCATGTGGCAACGGAGCCTATGCAGGACCTTCAGCAGGACGTAGGGATCCGGAGGTCAGCCGATATCCTGGAGTCTCCTTTACCCCCTCCCCAGAGCATCCTGCCTCCCTCTAGTATGGTCAAATCCACCAAAACTCCCCCACCACCTCCCCCTTATAGTCACTTAGGTAGTCCCCCTCCATACCAGCACCCACCTGGCCAGTTCAGCTCTGGCCGGCAGCCCTTAGCGCCCTCCCATGCCCTGCCTGATCCCCCCTCTAGCTTGCCAATGCGACCCCTTGGTGCGGGGATGGACGGCCAGCCCCACCACGACACCCAGTCAGAGTCACGACCTGAGATTCCGTACCGGCACCCCCCACCTGTTGCCCGAGTCCTGCCGGTCAACAGAGCCGAGATTTCTGAGTCGTCTAGCTTGGCCTCGCACTTAGCCAACCGCACACCTCAACAGCAGAGTTTAGCTGAGCAACTGAAGGCTCTCTTGGCTGAGAGGTGAGAAGGTCCCCAGATCCAAGTTTCTCATAAGCAGTGTCTTTCAGTGACAGACATGCACAGTTTTAAAATCAATTTCATTGATTTATTTTTTTAGATAATGAATTCAAAAGTATATCCAGTCATTACATGGAATTTGTATATGCAGATCAGTTTATCAGTTGGAATATGGTGGTAATTGGGTCATTTTAAGAAGGTCTTTAAACAGTTTTGTTACTATGATTGGCTTGGATGTTCTCACAAAACACCCACCTCTCTGGAAACAATCTTTATACTTTAAGATAAA